ACCTCCGACAACGACGCAGAACAATTGCCGATTTGGGGCTGGTACAGCATACTTGGGGGCGACCGCGAACACGTAAACTTCTTCTTCGTTTGATGGGAATGTGCCTCCAAACGCTTTCTTCATCGAGAGCGCTGGCCTCATCGCCTTGAAACGTTGGACGTCTTGGAGTTCATCGAGTGTCACCGCTGGTGCGGCTTCGCAGGAGAACCCGGCACCATCCTTCGCCATGACGAGTTCCAAGCTGTAGGCTGGGAATTGATACATCGTTTTGATCGCGATCTTCTCCTTGAGGTTATCGATGGTGTTGTCCTCGTGGATGGTCACGGAGAAAGGAGGCCCGGTACAATGGCGGCATTTCGAAAAATGGGTGAATGAATCATTCTGAAACCTGTCAAACACAATTCTTTTCAGCTGTCTTCATAATCCAGGAAATGAGATGACATATCGGCGAAAATACCGGAGGTTTTAATTAATTTCACTTACAAATGACTAGTGATTAAATTTGAGAAACTATTTGTTCAAACAATTAGGAAAAACATTCGGAAAAATACTAACGTTATGGGTGAATATGATCACACCGTTCGGACAATTTCAGTCGGACATACTTGACATTTGTAAAGGACTTATGGGGAACATATTTTGTCCGAATGAAATTGCGCGCACCGCAGCGGAGGTTGTGTGTATAATTTTGTGCAGGCGGTGCCTTGGCGACGAGTGAGTCGTGCACTTCACCGAATGTCCAATCGATTCCTCTTGTCGGGAAAAGCGGCAGGTAGGCCGCAGGCCGTGCCGCTACCTGGACAAGGCCTGTGGTACAACTATTCGCATTTAATGATAAATTCGGTAAAGTGCGTGTCCGAAGCACATATCCAGCAAATATTTGTCCGAGTCGTTATGGTATGGAATACCAGTAGGGAAGACAATCAAAATGAAATCATACTTTTGAAAATATTCATATTGGCTGCCCTACTATATTTCCCTATTTGACAACGATCCCCAACTAAGGGGTCCTATTTTCCCTAACGGTGACTGGTAGAACTCGCGTTGCAAATTCGGCTACCCAAACACTCCAATTTCGAATTGACTGCTTGTGACGATATGTACGTATAACTAGTACGTAAACTGTCACATGCAACGCACATTCCACGTCCATTATGTCAAAATACTCTGTACAATCCATCCATCCATCCATCCATCCAGGGTAACGTTATTCTTTCTCTATTAGCGTGTAACCTCCCCTCTCTCTCTACTGCCGGGCGTGGCCGACTCGAAAATCGATGAGAAAATGCCCCAGCTCCTTGACGAACGTCGGCTCATCCACTTGTCCGGTCCAGCACTGCAGCGAGTCGGCGCCGCCGTCCCCCACAAACTGCGGCAGACACTCGTGAAAGAACGACGGCATGTCCACGTCTGCGATATGGTACAGCAGCAGACCCAGCTCTTCTTGCAGCAGCCCCACGCGGCCGCGGGTGAGCAGCGTCAGAAGTGTGTGCAGATAAGCCATTCGCACTTGGCTTTTGAACGCCACAAAGTGAAAAATATTGTGCGACGACTGCAGACGCTCCAACGCCACCACGATCTGCTTGCACAGCGGCGGTGGGATCGACTCTTGCTGCAAAATCGTTCCTATGGCCTGGCGCACACACATTTGTTCAATGCAGCGAATATCGATACATATATATTTTTTATATATATATTTGGAGGGAAACAACGTGGTGGAATACGTTCGACGTACCTGCAAAATCATCATAAAGTACTGCCCCGCCGCGTCACTGGTAAATACTTTTTGGCGCTGGCCACTGGCATCAAACGTGGTTTGGGTCGTCACAAAGTAGCGGTAGTGATTCTCCAAGATCTATATATATATGTATATTAATTAGCATTCAGAAATACATCAAAATACAAGCTAAAAATACCCGTCAAAATCATGACTAATATAGATCACACTTCAAAGAAAAATGTTGTCATTCCTTCTTCACTTCAATAGAAACCATTAATGTATACCTAAATATCCTGCTCAATCCATTGAAGACTTGGCATTAATATATATATATATATATATGTATATGTATATATATATGTATATATTATATGTATATATTATATGAGCGTTCAAAAATCGAAAAGAAAAACCTAAAAAAAATACACATCGAAGGAACCAATTCTAAATAATATTGTTTTCATTTATTCAAATAAAAAAGAACAATTATGGTGTATTCCCAAAATGGGTAATGACCCTCATTAACATATTATATATGTAATCGTGATATATCCATCAAACACTTATATATTTATTTATACTCATATATTTATTTATACTCATATATACCTCTTCCATCAACGCAATGAAGAACGGGACGACAGTATCGTAGTGCTGGTGCGCAAAAATCACCTACACGACGAATTTATATCATCCACCACCTGCATTTGCAATCGAAACACAGAGTATTTTATATTTACCTCGTGGAGCGTGTTAAAGCACAAATCCAAGATGCTACCACCACGTGTGAGATATATAATTTACGGACGCTATTTATATATATACCGTCTAAATTACCTGTGCAAGAGCCCCGCGAGCGTAGGCGAGTATTCCTCGACCAAAATGCGCAGCAATTTCAAGAATGCACACAGCACGGCCGTACCTGGGGCCCCCAGCGCCTCCAGCCTACACACAACCACCCTTCAACTGGAAATAATCGCTTGGTTGTTCTCGTACTTGGACGCAAACTGGCCGTGCTGAAAGAGCTCCACAAGGGTCGTCACGGTTGCGCCGACGACGTCTGTCGGTAGTTCCTTTCGGATCGAGCGAAACAAGTCCGAGTAGAACCCAATGAGGTCGTGGATGGCACCCACGGCCGAAGAGAGCTGGCTCGGCGGACACTGGGGAAGCACGTTCATGTAGACACGGACGGCGTCCAGAGTGTACGGCAGCACGCCATGCATTTGCGAGTAAAAGCTCAATTTGACCTGCTTGGGTTTGGTCAGCACCACCCGCGCCAGAGCTCGGCAGATAGAGATGTCCCGCATGAGCTGAGCCAACAGCGCCGGCTCGAGCACCCGCTGCGCGTTCTGCTGCATCGTAACCACCGACTCCACCACGGACGTGAGCACGGGCGTCACGAGCGACGAAAACGAAGCCACACTCAAACCAGTGCTGAGTACGTTGTGGGCCAGCGCCGTGTACAGTTGACACTGGACAGACGGACTCAAATGCAAACAAAAATCTTGCAAATTCGCATACAAGTGCCCCAGTGACGGGATCTCGACTTGGATCGCATATGGAAATACCGACCCCATCCCCGCGAGCAGGTTCAACGCCGACTGCATCACATTCTATGGTCCAAATAATAATTATAAATATATATATATATATATATATATATATATAAACTGTAGCGACGTACCAGAGGCGACGGGACGATGGACGTGTCGAGTGTAGCTAGAATCAACCGGACCATCGACTCGCCCACGGACTTGAGGGGGTCTGACCCGCCGTTCTCATACACGAACGGCACGCAGCTCATGCAAAGCCGCACACAGGACAGTACTTCACACTATATATATATATCAATGAATTATATACATATGTGATGAATATATATATTTCATTAATATATGTATATAATTCATTGATATATAATTCATTGATATATATATATATAATTTATTAATACATATATATAATTCATATATATATATAGTTCATT